CATTCGAATATATCAATTCCACGTAATCAAGTTTCAGTCGTCAATCAAAAAGACTTCACATGTTTTTTTAATGCGATTTACAGCCATTGCTTTGGTTCCGTTTTGGTGATTAATGCATTTTGTTTCTGCTGTATAGGAATCAGCGGAAGGGCGTTGCGGAAGATGTACGGAGGGAGGTGAGCATTGGAGGCATGCCGCATGCATATATTCCCTGGATATGCATGGAGATATTCTGGTCCTTCAATTTCATTATACTTCCTGCTCTTCGATCATCTGATGCTCAGAAAACGAGTTTCTCAGAAAACTAGTTTCTTAATCCTTATAGATTGTTCCTGTTCCCTTGTATACTCAGGCACCTCCAGTTTAGCGGTGGAACATATGCTTGGAGTGTGATTCTGATCCCATAATGCTGTAGATAAAGAAACTGTCAACGCAAGTACTGCATCTCCTGCTTTTTGTATGAGCTATTGTCACTTTGGAAATGGAAGCTGATGTCATGGTCATTCATTACATGCTTATTTGTTATGATATCATTGATGTTTTCAGTAAACCTAATATGTTTTTAAATTGTTTATGAGACCATTTTTGTTGTCATGTGCAGATTTTTGGTGGAACTGTTCATTTTCCACTATATAAATCTGAACTCATTATTCTTTTTCTTGATGTATCTTATGCAATATAGCTTGAACTCTGAATTTTTGTCTGAACTCTGGAATAGGTCAGCTTCTCAGTTGAATGGTTGTGGTTTGTTAGGTTGATCTCCACCAAGTTGGCCCAACGGCCAATTTGGGCCTTTGATCCGCCCCCTGATTAGGGGTGCCCAATCCAATCATGGTAGGTGGGCCCCCGTCACGCAACGCTATAAAGAGGAAGGTGGGGGCCGGGGCACTGGGGATGAGGTTCACCGTAGCCACCGTTTTCCCCACCTACATCCTAACCATAGTCCGATCGAGAGGGCAGCGCTAACAGCGACGGGAAGCGCCACTGTCCTCCTCGACTCCCCTTTCGCCGACGCCGGACTCCACTGCTACTCCTTCACTGCCACCCTTCTTCACCGACACAACTGGACTGCACCGACCTCACTACCTGCATGATGGCTAGCAGCTCCGCCAAGCCCACTGATGGTAAAGCATCCCTACTCCTCTTCCTCTCGACCTCTCTCGCTCCAGTTCATACTCTAGGTCATTTTATCTTGAATAGACATGTACACCCGCTAGATCTGTACGTAGTGGATCCGCATATTATAACATGGTTACCTATGAGTTCCGCAATTAGTCCGCTGGGTTGATTTTGCGATTCTATATTTTATCTGCTCCTACACAGAGGTTGCAAGACCAGATTGCCTTACAAAGCTACAATGATATTTTTTTGGTTTCTGATTAAGTAAGCTGCTGTGGATGCTTGCTTGCACAAAATGTGTGGATTTTCAATGCTATATTCAAGCCCCTAAAACAATCCTGATCCCAACCTGTAACACCTAAACTTACAGATTATGATCATTTCACTATGATACATATTGTTTACATCATTGTCTGCATTTCGCTTAGTTTTAAGCCAACCTTTACAGTTTTTTGCTACAGGCCCCACGGAAAACAAGGCGACAGCACCAGATTCTTATGATTGCTTTCTTCATTGTTTGAGTTCTCCAATTTTGATGTTCTATGAACAAACCCGTGAGATTGGGATACAAAGGTAACAGGCCTTGTACTGTGATCTAAACATTTTTTTACTTGCTTTAGAATTTTAGTTTTCACATAGTCATGATTGAACTGCTTCGGTACTTTTATCTTGGATCTGTACACACAAAACATGCAAACATGAAAGCCAAATATGATGCCTGATTGACCGCTAGGTTTTGCTGTCATACACTAAAAAATTGTTTAGGATAAGATGATAAAATGATTTTGGCACACATGGTCTTAGCCTTTCAGTAGAGATTTTCCTGTAACTGTGTTGTGAAATTTTAAACAGTTCCTGGAAATATTCAGTGACTTTTAAGAATTTATTTCCCATAGCCATTTTAAAATCACTATTCTAATTTTGGCAAAGAAGTATTTTGTCAAAAAAATTTGAAGCTTGGTCCGGCCATTTAGGCCCTTACTATCTGAGTGACATAATAGGGCACGCATGGGCTGTAACATCAGGTACATGGCATATCTATGTCATGTGCATTTCGGTTAAAACTACAGTAGTGAAATTGGAGCACACCCACAGCACACACATGTTTGGAGTTGCAGTGCTGAATTTAACCTTTTCATGCTCTATGTAATGTGGTTCTGGTGGCCATCTGATCTGTTAGTCCTTCAGAGTTTCAGGCCGTGATGGACTCGGAATATCATTTATATTACAGTTTTCTTTAATTTGTGCTTTGCCACATAAATTTGATGCCTCTGCAGTTTCACATATTTATAGATGGATGGAGGCATGGCACGAGAGAAGGTAGCTTTGAAGCACAGTAAGAGCATCCGTCCATCTAAGAAAAATAGAAGCGGCAAGACTCAGGTGGAACAGGAGGGATGATAATTCAGAATTCTTAACCTGATGAAATAAATTCATGGCTTGTCTTGGGGACCATTGTCAGCAGTTATGTCTCTGTCAATGAGTGCATCGCCGCTGCCTGAGGACATAAGAGGTCAGTTCATGGAACCACCATAGTAAAAATGTCATATTCTAATTTCCATGTTTCATTTTGTACTGTTCACCTTCTTGTGGTACAAACGCATAGCTAGACACTGTGATTCTCCTGCACATAAACCAAAAGGGCCTTGTATTCGATCCCCCAACTATGCTCATTCATGAGTGCCCCATTCAGATTACTATATGTGGTGCTCAATTTCCATTGCTTCAATTTCAGTACTGCTTATTTCAACAGAAATTTACCATGTATTTTCAGGAATCATCACGAAGAAGTGATCCCAAATAAGTAAAGACTAAGGAGTAAAAAAAAAGGTATGCAATACCAGCTGACCAATATTGCGGCTTTGCTGCGCCCTCCATGGAGGAGGCCAGCGGAGGATATATGTATCATGAAATAAACATTGTTATCTCCCTCTATAGAATGCTGAGAAGGCAAAACCTTGTGATGATCCTGTTTTGCTTTTGTTAGTTGAGACATTGATGGAAATTTCGCCTAGACAGTTTTCTAGAGTCACCTAGAGATGCATGAAGAAATATGAAGTGTGCAGCCCAAAATTTGAAACAGTTCGGATCCAAAAGGCAGAAAGCAGTGAAGTAGATAAAAGTATTCACTCGGAGTGAGCTTTTTTAGCTTGTTCATTGTAGAGAATTGTTTGCTTGGAGCCTAGAGAGAATACTGGGATCAAGAGCTTGGTCAGTGGACACACCATCATCATGGATCCAAGTATGGCCTGACATGAATAAATTTCTTTAGTAATGAATGAAGTACAATTTTTTTATTGCTAAAACAATTCTAAGAACAAAACCTATGGTAAAAAAATAGATCAGAAAGACAAAAAAAAACCCTAAGGGAAAGTCACCTGAGTGAAGGTGTAGGCTATACTTAAGATATAAGTATTTACACAGTACTTCATGGCCTTTCAGATGCTCTGATAGCAAGGGCAGAGCAACTTTTTTTTTTCAAAAAACTTGGCACTTTCATATATCTTAGGCTAACATGGGGTGCCTCTTATGCTTGCATTGTGCTATGGCCTATAAAAATGAGTGTCTATTTCTAATCCTCTTTGTTGAGCTCATGCATTAAATCTAGCTTACTAATAACTTATGATCATATATTCATGTTAATTTGGATTTAACTTCCATCTGCTAATATTCTACGGATATCATGTTTCTCCCTACACCTAGACATGCCCTAATTTAAAAATAGGTAACATAGAAACACGCATATTTTGAATAAATTTATTAGTTTACTAAGCATACATATGTCAGGGCCAAACAGCTAACAGCAAGGAAACCAAACGGAAGGATATTTTGGTGTACAGGGCAAGGCAAAGTGGACTGCTGCTTTTGCTTACAGTTGTGGTTACAACTTTTGTTAACTGATGCTCTTACTATGTAACTTTTGGTCGAAAACATGGCTTTTGACAGCCCAAAAATTTTTGGGCAACATAAAACAACATAGATGATACGTATCTACCTTTTGAGGAGAAAGATTATGTTCACTGCCTCTGCTGAGGCGTACTATATTAGTTTCTGTAATGACAAGGTTGTAAGCAGTATACTCTGTTGAGAATTTCTCACCACCCAATGTTGCCATAGTTCTTCAGTTAAGGAACTAAACCTTAGCTGCTAAATTACCATCCTGGTTTCTGAATATTACCAATCTTCAATAATACTTGTGTATATGAGCATTACCTCATTGGCAACCAACAATGGCTATCCAACGAAAGGAGTTTCCTGCTGCTACTCCTTGCGCTGGATAGAAGAGGACGACCTGTTGCTGATGCTTGCTTGGATGGATAAGAGAGAGAGAGCTCGGCAGAGCAACTCTCTCAACACAACATGATCCTTCATCTTCAATAGATGCTCTCACTTGGGATAATTGGATCCAATAAATTTGATTACTGAGAATTTTACTTATAAAGTAAGGAATACACATGTATCACTTGGGGATAATTTCATCAATAAATTTGATTACTGGGAATTTTACTTATATAAAGTAAGGAATAAAGCCACACACTGGCCATACGCGGCCTAGCCGCGAGCATTTCTAGTTGCAATTGAAAGGATAAACCTCCTGAATATGTATAAGTATTACGGGTTGTTCTTTCAGACACCACCACGAATTCTAAACAGCTCCAACCTTCTTGAATCTTCTTCAGACTAATATAAACACCCCTAATGCACTTGTAATCACACCACGAATCCTAAATAATTCCAATCTTCTTGAATCTTTTTCAGTTGCTCGAATCTGCTGCTCCCCCTTCTCCCCCTAGACCAGCGAATCTACTCCTCCCCCTATAACTGCCGCGAAGCCCATCCAGATGCCTGTCATGACGCACGTCGCTACGGCGACGGAGGCCATGGTGGCCAGACTGCCACAGCGCCCGAACCGCGTTCAGATGGCCACGACGAGCAGGCCGGTGAGGATGACGGCCGCTAGCTTGGCACAGAGAGCTGGCCACGACGAGCAGGCCGGTGAGGATGACGGCCGCCAGCTTGGCGCAGAGAGCTTAGAGGTAGAGGCGCTTCTTGAGAGCGGCCATGAGCGCCACCGGGAGCAGCAGGGCAGTCACCGTGAGCCAGGGGCGGAGACAACCCCTAATGCACTCGTAATCACACCACGAATCCTAAATAATTCCAATCTTCTTGAATCTTCTTCAGTTGCTCGAATCTGCTGCTCCCCCTTCTCCCCCTAGACCAGCGAATCTGCTCCTCCCCCTACAACTGTCGCGAAGCCCATCCAGATGCCTGTCATGACGCACGTCGCTACGGCGGCGGAGGCCATGGCGGCCAGACTGCCCCAGCGCCCGAACCGCGTCGAGATGGCCACGACGAGCAGGCTAGTGAGGATGACGGCCGCTAGCTTGGCGCAGACAGCTGGCCACGACGAGCAGGCCGGTGAGGATGACGGCCGCCATCTTGGCACAGAGAGCTTAGAGGTAGAGGCGCTTCTTGAGAGCGGCCATGAGCGCCACCGGGAGCAGCAGGGCAGTCACCGTGAGCCAGGGGCGGAGACAAGGGGCGGGCGGGGGCCATGCCCCCTATGATGTGAATTTTCTACTAAAAATTTTAAAATTCAAATAAATTTTAAAAATTCAACAACGTTGGCCCCCCGGCAGGGGCAGTCCAAAGATGAGCTGAGGCGCGGCTGTTCTAGGCGGTGACGCGTCCCAGCTCCGTGACGAGGCTGATGACGACAGCCGCGTTGTAGCCCAGAAGCCCGAACAGACGCGCCCTAGCTCCGTGACTAGGCTGATACGCCAGCCGCGTTGTAGCCCTGTAGCCCAGAAGCCCGAACAGAGCTGCTGTATCGACGACGGCGGTGGGGGAGAGCTGCGCCGACGGCGGTGGGGGAGAGCTGCGACCACAGCGGTGGGGGCCCGCGCACAGCTGCTGGCAGGAGCAGCAGGATCAGCCAGCTCGGCGACGTCGACGGTGGCCATCCCCGCACTGCTGCTGGCGACGACGCTGGAAGGAGGAGCAAGCCATCCCGAGCGGCTAAGCGGCGTCGATCGGCGAGCGGCTGAGCGAGAGCTGAAAGTGCGAGAGGAGGAGTGCTGACCGGCGAGACGAAAGCTGTTGTCGCAGACAGGAAGGTGAACAGGGAGGAGGGGAATTTATGCTGCTCGTGTGTCCGGTCATGAGAAGCTGCCTCTCTTCTCTCTGTCTGCATTCCTTCCTCTGTCTCTGCTCTCTCTCTCTCTGTCTGTCTCTGTTCTCTGTCTGTGAGAGTTCGCCTATGAACCGAGTAGGTCACAATCAAACCGAACGCGGAGGAGGTCATCTACCGCGTCATCTAGCAGGAAATTGTTCCCACCGTCAGCTGGTAGCATCTCGACTAACATACCTCTGACAGAGAATGGTAATTACAGTTAGAGAAAAACTGTTACAGGAATAAGTCGTGAACTGACTGATACTACTTTCTTTGCAGATGCTTGAGTCCCTCAGCTGTGTGAGGAGCAGCAACCACCAGAGGAAGCTCACTTTGGTTCCTCTATTTGCGCTGTCAGAGCTCTGGCTGACTATCCAATGTACTCAAAGGCATAGCAGCTTCAAAGAGCCCGGCTGCCATGAGACACCCGAGCTGGGAGCAGAGCCGGCCGTGTGAAGAATCGCAAGGCGAAAAATATAAAAATTAATGAATAAAACAGGGACCGATTGGATTGTCAACAAGCCATCCGATGATGCTGTCCGTGGAACAGGAAAGATGAGTTGTATTAAACCAGATGAGTTGATTATATAGAATAAATAGATAGAATCGCAAGGAGTATTTTGGTAAGCAATATGGCACTATACACGATGGGCCTGCCGCGCCATGGGCTTCCTCCCGTCTGAAACCTATACCAAAACAAAAGGACATCACATCCAAAATGAGAAACGAACCGTGGCACCTGCCCCTCCGGCGCGGGGCCACGGGGACAAGAGGTCAGTCGTCGGGGGACAACCGCACCAAGCAACCCACCCCCACTTTTCCTTCAGTCGGCCTGGGATCGGGCCATCAGGGCGTCGTAGAATTCGCCACGGCTCAGGAAGTCAGGAGGAGGAAAAAAACGCGAAATTGGAATTGCACATGCTCAAATGCTGGATGTGAGTTCACGGTTTACCTACAACCAACATGGGTTGAAGTTTATTGGGTTAAAATTTAAACTAAATTTCATCCCAACTTACTTTTAACACGTATGGATTGAGATCAACACATATGTATCCAAACAGATTTAAAAGAAAACAAGAGGCGTGGGCGGACAGGGCGCGGAGCGTGTGAAGCGAGCAGCCCTGGCAGACCGCGCAGAGCGGTCTGGTCGGACGGAACGGACACCCGTGGCGTATCATTATCAATCAACGATAGCCACGGCCTAGGAAACACATTGGCGGCAGTCGGACTACAAGCGGATCGCCCGGCGCACTCCATGGCTCCAAGCCTGAAGGAGGCTTGGCTTCAACCTTCCGGTTGTACTTTACGTCTTCGTGGTTAGTTTAAGAATCATTCCACAACGGTTACACTGAACTCGCTGTCAGCAACCGTGCTACTGTAGCCACAAGTCTGAAGGAGATCATGATCGACGATGGCCAGCCAGAAGATGACGAGCACATTCAGGCAGAGCTTGGGCAGCAATGAGGAAGGCGTGAACGCAGGCCCAACATTCGTGTCCATGGGCCCGAGTGGGAGTGAGCACAACAGCTGGCAAGGAGCCGTGTGCATCTGGTATATGTAACCCGAGAGGGAGAGAGGAGAGGATAACAAAAATTATGAACAAATTATTGTAACACAAGCACTCTTCCTTCTATCGCTAAGAACTCATCCTTCGCCCGATTCGTGCTTGTTCCTCTGTTGCTTCCTCTTGTTGATTGCTATTCTTCCTCCCTTCCACTGCCTGCTTACATCTGGTATCAAACTTCCTTCGATTCTCCTTCCGTCCTCTACATTCACTCTTCAATCTCCGAATCGTAGATTACTTGCAAACGCCTCGGGTTGTCGAGTTCGATTCGCCGCTGCGATTCCAATCTCCGTAATTCCTAGGCACACGAGTAATCCGATTCGGTTGTCGGCTCTGGATCACAGCACTCCACCACCGCCGCCGCCACCGCTGCCGCACCCGCACTACACCCGGTTCGCTCGTAGTCGAGGCGCCATGAATCCCGACTCCAAGTTGCTGCTAGATGAGATGAACCGCCTCTTCAACGTGCAGAAGACACAGATCGAGCTAGTAAAATGGCTAGTTACATTTGGAAAGCTAAACTGCCAGTAAAGATCAAGGTTTTCTTGTGGCAGATTTTTAATAACAAACTGCAGGTTGCACAAAGTCTGATCAAAAGGGGTGGAAAGGCAGCAGGGGCTGCTGTGTGTGTGGGAACTCTGAATCGGTGGATCACATTTTCTTTAAATATCACATTGCTAAGTTTGTTTGGTGTGTGATCGAGGAGGTTTTCAACCTGCGTGCTCCAAAGTCTATTGGGGAGTTTAGTTTCTGGATTCAGGGCAAGGGACCCTTTCCTAGTAGAATGATCATATTCATGTTTGCAGGATTTGCTTGGACAATCTGGACGACAAGGAACAAGATGGCGATAGAGAAAATTTTTCCTAAAGCTCCTTCTGATGTCATCTATTGTGCTATATCCTTAATGCAGAAGTGGAGGCTGTTGCTAAAGGAGGAAGACAGGAAGCTCTTTGATCTCGCTAAGGATGATATCATGCAGTGGATGAAGAACTTCCAGCCCAGCGCCTATTCTGAGTCGACATTGTAGAAATATACAGCTGTTCGTTATCGTTCTTGGCTGTGGCTTGTAAACGATCATCGTAAATTTCCAGCCGAAACAGTATATTTTTCTCTCACACCAACCAGCTAAGAACTTCTTCACGAACCAAAAGCAACGATATGAACCAGCCAACCCAAGCAGTGATAGTCTCTATAATAGGGTTGTGATTCTGTTGATGCTCTTTTTTGTGTGGTAACCCCAGCATGTACCATATATTTCTGTTGCTTTTACAAAAGCAGAGGTAAAACTCCTTTTTTTTTGGTTGCCCTCGACATCAACATGGCAGCGACTCCTCCATCTTCTTCGCTCCTTGATCCGCATGACTTCTCGAGCTGCTGCCGTATCTAAGGCCACGCTGCGGGATCTTCTTGGGCTTGCTCTTCTTGAAGCTTGCGCCACGTCGGTGTACCGATTGATCGGCGCCATTATCGTACCTCGGCAGTTGGTGATGGTGGTTGTTGCAACGACGGGGCTGCCGGCATCGACAACACCAAGGATGGCGCCAGACGCCCAATTTTTTGTAATTTGGCCCTTTTTTAAAAAAAAAATCAGGTTTAGACCCCTAGGCGATGTAAACTCAGCTTTGGACCCTGGAGATCGGCGTCGTGATTCACGACGCCAAGGTTACACGTCTTGGCGTCGTGACTCACGGCCGAGGTCTCGGCCCTATTTTGAGTGGACGGACGATATGGCGCTACGTGGCACACACCTCGGCGCGCCACGGATCACTGGCCTTGAGCTCGGCGCTAAAGATCATGAAGCGTCGAGGTATTAACCCTATATGCGGCTCAAGCCAGCGTCACTTCTCTCTCTTTCTCCCTCTCACGCTCGTCTCAGCCAACCACACCGCCGCCATCGTCACCACCGCCATCCCCCCCTCCGCCGGTGCCCTCGTAACCCTCGGCCGCCTGGGGAGGCCACGCCCCCATCCCGGCCGCCCTCGTCACCCCCTTCCCTCCTCCGCGTTGTCCGGCGGCGAGGGCGACCCACCACCGCTCGCCGGAGGTCCCGCTGGCCGATGGGCCTCCGGCCCCCACACCCCCCTGCCCCATCGGTGCCCCACTCCTCTACGCCCCTAGCCCCTCCGGTGCCTGCAGCAAGGTAAAATTTTTTAAGTTAAATTAGTTAATCTACTTTAGGTAATTTAGTTAATAATTTATTTAGAATATTTAGCAAATTTAATTACATAGGTAGGTAGATAGATACTTATTTATTTAGTTACATTATTGACTTAGGAATATATTTATGTAGCTTATTTAGTTAGTTTAGATTGTTAGAAACATAATTAGATAGTTAGTAACTTATTAATTTAGTTAGCTAGTTAGTAAGTGTAGTTAGCAAATCTCTTATATTGTTAGAGAGATAGGCAGTTAGATACTTATTTGTTTAGGTAGATAGTTGGGTAATTTAGTTAGCAAATGTAGTTAGATATTGTGGTTAGTCATCTTATAATAATATACCCCTAATAACTTGGTTGTTGTGCATACCAACTAGATGGACAACGTAGTCACCCTGTATCATGAAAGAAGTGTGGAGGCATATGAGTTTGGGAATGTCTATTTTGTTGAAATGCAAAGGGTGCGAGTGATATTTGATGATCGACCATTGTTTTGTGAGTTGTTTGCTAGGGCTCGTGATGAGCTTAAATGCAATTCAAATGAAGATGCCATCTTAGTTGAGGGGGTACTTCACCATGACAAGTCAGGGACAATTATTAGGCGGTTGGTCCCAATTGCATCAGAGACTCAATGGGACAAATATGTCAAAACTATCATGAAGAACGAGTTTTAATGTTTGGATTTGGTTGTGCGGAAGTTGTCCAATGATCCCACCCCTCATGGCACCCCCTAATGGGCATTCACCCCCTCGTGGGTTCTCGCAAGAACCAGAGAATCTAGCACCTTCTGAGCCTCCGTTACCTAACCGCGAGGTGGATGTGGAAGATGTGGTTGTGGTGTTCGATGCTCAATCCGCCCCGAATGAGGTTGGAATATGTGCCGATGATGTTGCTTCTTGCCCTCAGGAGATCCCTTTGACCTAGAACTATCCAAGTAAGTGACGTAGTAGCACTTCGGCTTTCCTTGTTCTTCCTTTATTGCGTTCCTTTGTCTCAATGCTCTCCATATTTGTGCTTTAAATGCAGGAGACAATCCGGATAATCATGGTTGTCCTCCTGTGCCTCCATCAACCAATGTGGACCCAGGGTTTATAGCCTCTAACAGTGTGGATGTTAATATTGAGGATGATGAGGAGCCTTATGGCACAGCAAGAGCCGTTGATTTTGATGATGACTGCCCAGTTGCAGCTTTGAGCGAACAAGAAATGGAGCTCATTAGACATTTTTGTCCTGATCGTGATCCCCTAGTTTATGAATTCAGCGACCTTAGTCATTCTCAACATGCTTATGGAGAAGGAAGAGATGACGAGCTGCTAGAGGCTCCTGAGGCTGGTGACAATGTGGAAATTCAGAAGGGCCTGCTCTTCAAGGACTTGCCAACATTGAGAAGGTGGTTACAAGAATATTCTGTGAGACGTAAAAGACTTGTGCCGAGAAAGATCTAAACCAGAAGCATCGACAGTTGACCTCTACCCTCATTGCTAGAACTCTGTACTCAATATTGAAGGGTCAGCCCAACTTGAAGGTCACGACAATTATGGAGATGGCTCAAAAAATATTTTATTATGACATAAAGTATGAAAAAGCATGGAGGGCTCAACAACGGGCCTGGAAGATGATATATGGGGATTGGGAGGAGGGATACGAGAAGTTGCCAGCATTGTTTAATACAATGAAAGCAGCTAACCCAGGCATGTATTACGAGTACATCCTGAAACCGGATGAATGGAAGAACG